ACTTCTGTTTTGTGAAGCAAACATCTCCTATTATCCTCCAGTTCCAGTTGCGTATGGCTGGGAGACTGTTTTTGAGTACAGCAAGATGTGGATGTACCCAACTCCAGGAGTGTTTCAATCTGCCTGTTTTATTGTAGCCATAGTTACTTAGTATCCAGGTAAAAAGCAAGGATGAAGTAAAGATGTGAATGATCCTTCTGTGATGCTAGTTATGTCTGTACTTGTCATAGAAATTTCACTTCTTGCACATATAGGTTTTGCCAATCTGGTTTCCATTAATTAACTGATGAAAAACTTTATGGATTTCTCCGTGTTTTCTATTTCAACATGTCATGACTGTTATTGTTCATGTATTTGTTTATTTGTGACAATATTTGGCTGAGTCGCCGAAGTATACACGAGTACATGTTGTACAATGGGGAGGGAGAGTGGGGGTTGTGGGGGGGTCAGGATTGTCGACTTCATTCTTCCATGTCATGATATCCCAGTACCACAGATAGATGGCACTGATTTCAGTCACTGGAATGGCTGGTCTGGACTCCATAATGTAAATGACACCGTACTGCAGGCAAAAGACTGCTGAGTGCAGCGTTAACCAGAACTTGCAATCATGCAAAAGAGAATGGTATATTGGGTCTTATGACTGCTAAAAAGCTTTATACAAACTCAGCACTCCCCAGCTATTTTCAGCAACTTCACTCTTTGGAAGGCTGCATTGTGTGTGTGTTAACACACCAATCTAACAATATCATCTACATCTGTCAGACATATTTGCAGTCATCACTAATGCTCCCAAGAGCAGGAGTTGCTTCAGGGTGCCCTCCCACAACAAGCAGACCTGCGTAGGACTTGTGCCCAAACCAATGATGCATGTGTACATAAACATATCAGCATCTGCAGCAACATCATTTCCTTGTAATTGGATCAGTTGACAATGGGCTATAGACTTCCGTATATTACCTGAGCACAGGTAACTAGCAGCGCCACACCAAGCGTGGGGCTGTGTTTTTGTGAGTTGTGCAGTGACTAGCCTGACGACGCGATGCCTCATTAGTGGGAGATTGAGGGATTCCTCAAAATGAGCCTCCTGATCAAAGGGAAACTTTTCACAGCTGTTTGAAGGTGAGCTTGGAAAGAAAGGCCCTGTGAGAGAGAGCAAGCCGGGGATGTCAATAGAAGGGAGATGGTGTAGACTCCGTGAAATCCAAACCACCATACAATATGGTATTTAGATTAAATATTTAGATACAGGCAGCTGCATTTTTGCGAACATTAAAAAGAACATAATGGGGAAATCAGGCTGTCAGATTCTGGAGAAATCGCAATGTGAAGGAAATAAATGTTGATGATCTCGGAATGACCAGATAGATTTCGATGATCAATCACTCCCCCAGGCTCAGCTGTCGTCACTCGAGGAAGTCGCAACAAACTTCAAAATTTGTGTTCTTCTTTTGCTGTGATGAGAATTTATTTCATGATCCATGATGTAGTCAGCATCTGCTTTGAATTTCAGACCTCTGTACTATTTGTCAGAGTTGGAATCCGTCCATTTAATCACCCCTGTTTGGCAATATGCTGGGAAATAAATGGCAACCCTTTAGCCCCAGATGGGGCCTGTTTGCGATGATAGAGGGCTAGACAATAATACCAAATAACTTTATAAATCATGTTTTCGAGGGCAAAAATGGCTGGGTGAGGTTGGAAAGCATTTACCCATCTGAATTTAGCACTTCCATCTTTCATTTCAATCAGGCGGAAACAGTGGCATCAGATGGAAATGGATACTGTACAATAACATCTCTCTGTCATTAAAGAATGGTGGTGGATAGGCACTGGCATCTCTTCAGTTAAACCTACATTCCAACATGAGGTTCCATTAATCTGCCAAAAATTACTTTCTCATATCCCTACTTCACCTCATTCTAGAACTTCGTTCTCATTTTCAGTAGCAGTGTTGACTCGGCCATGGTGTACTTCACCCCCCTTGGCCCCCCCTATCCTCCTCCTCCTCTCCCCCTTCCCTATTGTTACCACCCACCCCAAATGTTTCCGTCCCCAACTGGTTCAGCTGTCTGTGTTCACATCGTAACATCCACTTTATGTATTTAATGAATTTGATTTCTCAATCAACATGTTTTCGTATGCTGTTTGTCTTTGCATTAGAATAGCTTCTGTTACACATTCTTGCAATGGTTGTAATGTTGTAAAAAGGAGGCAGCCAAAAATTGAAATTCTTACCATTATATGAATTTGTTATGTTTTAGTAGATCAAGTTTCCCCAGGGCATGTGGTTTTGTCATCAGTGCATGTACTGTACAACTAGTGGATGTCGTCTTATTGTGAAGAACTTGCTTGCATGCTGATTCACTGTGATATGACATCACTCACTCCTCACTCACTCACTCACTCACTCACTCGCTCACTCACTCACTCACTCACTCCTCCTCCTCACTCCTGCTCCCCACTCACTCACTCCCACTCACTCACTCACACTCACTCCTCCAAAACCCACTCACTCACATAAAGCCCACTCACGCACATAAAGCCCACTCACGCACATAAAGCCCACTCACCCAAAGCTCACTCACTCACTCTACAGTGGATAAAGTCAATTCAGCAACAACTGAGTTTAGGGGTGATCGGTCCAGTGGTTATTACTCTTGTTAGATGCATAGATTTCATTCAGATCTTACATTGGTTTGAATGTTCTTGGATAATAGCATAATTGAAAGTCTGCCGAAAATTGTCTGTCTGTCTATTTGAGATGCATTCAATTTCTTCTAAAGTTTGCGTATTTTTTATATGAAGCTTAAAATAAATGTGACTTCTGCTTGAACAAGAACTGTTTTTGAAGGACAATGTTATAATTTCTTACTGTGATTATTAGGGCTGCGCAATATAACCGGTTTACTGGTATTTACCAGTTCAGACATGAAAACGATATGTATTGCGATACGCTGATCAAAAAACAGTACTTCCACTTACATTCATAAAACTTCTTAACACTTGGAAATCTTCAGATATTTCCTTGTTTCATTTGTGCCAAATATTATTTACATTTTATTTTGTCATGATTAAAGGTTGTTGTTAAAGCTTAATCAAGCATAGTTATTTTGGTTATGGTTTTGCTTTATGAATCAAGCATAAACTGGATCACAAGTAGTTTTATGTTTAAAAATGCTTCTTGCAATATATTGCAATACATACTGCAATATCTGCTTTCGCATCGCAATATATCGCAATCTGAAAATTCTCTGCAATACCCACCCCTAGTGATTATATATATATACTACTGACAAGGGGTTAAGAACACCTGAATCCTTCACATTGCTACAGTTAATCTGTCAATGACATGATTTTGATGCTGTTTGAACACACAAAAACACAAATAAGCATACATTTTGCATCAAACATTCCCAACTTCCATGGTTTTGGTGAGTGAGGTGTTCTCATGTTATCCTTCAGTGTCCCTGACCAGAGCTGTACTCTCAATTAGACAAGGAATGATAGACATGAAATGAGGCATATGGCAGCCATATTGAAAATTCCACATTATGACTTATTGCTATAGATTCGTCAGCTTAAGTATGCGATGGTGCCAATTTTGTTTTCCTGGTACTGTTATAAGTAACATATTTACAGATATCATCAAGTCGTCATCAAGCTACTGTGGAGGATTTGCGAAAGCAACATTTGGCATGGATCCAGAATCCAAAATACATTATTATTGGGTCCATATGTCATTTCTCCAAATTGAAATAGTACCAAAATATTCAGTATCATAATGATGCTTTTTACTTCAATAATTAGACATAATACATTTTCACAAGTTGCTGTTAAGACCGCACTACGAGACAAGTACTTCCTCTTGACTGAAATTAACAAGTAATGAACAACTTTGTACTGTGAAATAAGCGTGGATTTATTTCACATTTTGCACACATGTTGCATTTTCTTTCCAAGTAGGTGAAGACTTGAATGTTGTCTTGTCTCGGAAGTATGGGAGTGAATGTTACCTAATATTGATTGAAATCTCCACAATCTATCATACTCATGGCGAGTGTAATCTACAACTTGCTTGATGTGGATATCAGCTGTTTTGCAGACTATGTCGCAGATTTAATGTTTTCATTTCACACTTTTTGCCAGGAGTAATTCTTTGAATGTACAAATGAGCTTCCTTTTGTTTGACAGTGTGCCAAAAATACACCACCACACATCACAAATACGATAGTTTGCATACCTTGGATACGCATCCCGAACTTGAAATTGGTGTAAAAATATCAATCGTGTAGGTTAAGATTTCAATAGACCAGAGTTTGTCAGGGTAATGCTGCACCAGGCTTGTGGCTGAAAGTCAGCTTTTTTATCTCTCAGAAATTTTGTTGAGTATGTAAGATAGGAATCTGTGATTCCACAAAAGAAGGCATGTAGTCAAAGATGGCTGATTTTGTACAATGTTCTCAATATGGTTTTCATCACATTTAGTCATAAAAATGAAAGCCTTAGAAGTAACTTGACAAGTGTTTTTTTTATTTTCACATCTACAAAAATGGAGTTGAAATGCATGAATCCTGATTTTCTCTTGTAATTGTGTATGGGCAACATTTATTTATGTATAGTTATGCCCAATTTTGCATTGCTGTGGTGAGTATAGCAAGTATGCATTTTAAACAAGGAAAACAAGGTGTTGTCCCCTTTGATTAGCAAGGAAACAGGAGTCTGTTAACTTGAACAGTGTGTCGTGATATATGTCAGCAAATATGAAACTGTCACATCAGAGAGTAACCAATGTCAATGACCTTCTGAAACAGATTCCCCTGGGTAAAGAACAACTCAGTGTGAGAGTTATGTGAATGGAAATCTGTAATGGAAAGATGTGTTTAGAGAAAAAGTGAAGTCTGGGTTTGATTCCTTACAGTTTTCAGAATTTGCTGAAATAGAAGGTAAACCAAACATCCTACAGACACAGGTGTGACTTCTGTTTGATTGTGTTGTAGGTGGTAATGTCATCAAGGTGTGGGACGCTCTGGCTGGAGGGAGGCTTCTGGCCACACTGACCAACCACCACAAGACAGTCACGGCACTCACCTTCTGCAGCAAGTACCAACGCCTCCTGTCAGCATCTCTGGACAGGTGAGTACATCAATGGCCTCCAACAGTGAGTTCGTCACATCACTGTCTAAACATATATGTTTTGGTACGAAAAAATGATTTGACAAGATTAGATCAGATCAGATTATTATTCATATGGAGCTCCCGATACCAGATCAGATTGTGGTCTCATGGAGCACCCAATCAGACTGTCTTCTAATGGAGTTCCAAATCCAGATCAAATTGTAGTCTTCTCATGGAACTGCCGACCCAGATCAGATTGTGGTCTTCTCATGGATCTCTCGACCCATATCAGATTGTGGTCTCATGAAGCACCCAATCAGACTGTCTTCTAATGGAGCTCCCGACCCAGATCAGATTGTGGTCTTCTCATGGATCTCTCGACCCAGATCAGATTGTGGTCTTCTCATGGATCTCTCGACCCAGATCAGATTGTGGTCTTCTCATGGATCTCTCGACCCATATCAGATTGTGGTCTTCTCATGGAGCTCCGACCCAGATCAGATTGTGGTCTTCTCATGGAGCTCTCGACCCAGATCAGATTGTGGCCTTCTCATGGATCTCTCGACCCAGATCGGCTTCTTGTCTTCTAATAGAGTTTCCAATCAAGATCAGATTGTCTTCTAATGGAGCTCCCTATCAAGATCAGATTGTCTTCTCATGGAGCTCCCTATCAAGATCAGATTGTCTTCTCATGGAGTTCCCAATCAAGATCAGATTGTCTTCTAATGGAGCTCCCTATCAAGATCAGATTGTCTTCTAATGGAGCTCCCTATCAAGATCAGATTGTCTTCTCATGGAGTTGCCTATCAAGATCAGATTGTCTTTAAGCACAGATCAAGATACGAGTGATTGTTGTCCTCTGGTTAACCTCAAAATCAAGATCATGTGTTTGTCATTTGTGAAACCCCCCAAACAAATCAGATTGTTGTTTTCTTGTAGAGTTCACAATCCAGATTTGATTGGAGTTTTTGTGTCAAGTTCCTAATCTAGTTCTTCCTTGATCTCTCATTCAAATATCCTATTGTTATTCTCGCGTCAAAAACAAAGTTTTCAGCACACAAAACCTCCCCAAGGTAAGACAGTTGCCTTCACATCCACCTGAGTTTTCAACCTGAGAGAGAACCTAATCAAGATTATATTGTTCTTATTTCATGAAAGAGATCCTCAGTCATGTGAGACTGTTGTATTCTCAGGATGGATGTTTTCTTTTTAATCTGACTCTCCTTGTCAGGACGCTTTTGGCCCCGGACCCATCTCTGATGTCATTATTGCCATCACAGCTCACACACACAGTGCCATGTGATACAAGTGTGTTCTACTTAGAGAAGTCAGTGTCCCAGCTGGTAGAACAAGATGTCATCTAATCTTGTAGCTTTTTCCATTGAAATTAGAACATACAGTAATTCAAGAACATCAGTACATTTTGAAAAGCCAAGTGTTCTTCTTGGAGAGATGTACAATACAGTGTAGTAGGTCCATCATGCAGGCTGTCATTACAAGAACTGAGGATTGTTTCAGTAACCACAGTAGTTCTTAATCTGAAGATTTGTTTCATTTTTGGTTACATTTTGGTACTAAATGTAATAAATGCCCAAATGGTAAATATTCCTGGTCAGATTCAACCAAGGATTTATTTGTGTGTGTTTGCAGTACCACCTCATACCTGGCCATGTTGAACCGTGCTTCCTCCATGGTGACATACTGGTGGGAAAGTCGGCCCAACAGATGTTGAATCAGAAATACAATCCTAATAATAAAAAGATGTAACAACAAAGCATGGGCCCTATCTGTAGATTAGGGAGGTAGGCCTTCCCTCCAGTGTCGGTGGGCTTGTCACTTTCAGCCTTGACTGACAGCCCCAAGTAGAAGAAAGCCATCTGGTAGTGTACATTTCAGCCTCAAATGATACCTACACTTACTTAGTTTATACACTTCTTGTCTCTTTACATCCACCAATGTGGGATATCAAAATATACTGGATGTTTTCTGAATTCTGTGTACACATAAAGTTTATTGGATGTACTCATGCTCAAAAATAATCATGTGGTGATGATACCACTTTGATTCATTTTGGTTATTTCTTTATAGGTGTATTTCTTTATGTTGTTCATGTTGAACACTTGGGAGGTTTTAGATGGAGGGAGTGTCAGTGGGCAGCATAGGCTGGAGGTGAAAGATACTGACGGGTTCTTACCAGCATTATTTCACATACCTGGTGGGCTGTGGGGTAGCCTTGTGGTTAAAGCGTTGGCTCGTCATGTTGAAGACCCGGGTTCGATTCCCCACATGGGCACAGTGTGTGAATACCATTTCCATGATATCGCTGGAATAAAAGTGACGTAAAACTAGAGTCAGTCACATATGTGGGTGAGTGAAGTAGCTGTACTGTAAGTGTTGATGCTGTGGAGGACCTGGTGATCAGGGCCCTGTCATCCCACTTGTGTTGCACTGACTGGATGACATCAGTGTTTGCTTGTCCATCGATATCATATTCCTGTATGGCAAGTCTAAATGTTCCCTGTGACATTCCTGGAGAGAAGAGATCCTCAGTACCCCATATCTCAGTTTTTTTGTTCCTTGTTTGACGCTGGATCAGAAAATGCAGTGATTGAAATTGTTAGCATTCTCTCTTCCAATTGTTAGGGACCTATGCCAGACCAGAATCTCCGTAGGCTCATGCTAGATGTATAAGCCAACTTGTGGGGAATCTCCATGCTGGTTGTGTTCATTGTACCCTTACAAGGGATGTCAAGATATGATAGTCTAGCCATGCACTGATTCAGGTTTTGGTATATAGTTGATGTTGGACAAAATGATATTTATAAAGATTTACAACCTAGCATGATAACTACTATTGCTTTACTGGCTTTCATTAAACAAAAGGCTGATACGATGTGTAAACAATTATTGTAACAAGCCTAATTTGACCATTCAGGAGAGCTGAATACTACGTCATTGATCAATAGTAGGTGACTTGAGAAGTAAATGTGTCATGAAGTAGGTGTTGAATTGTTCAAATGTAGAGATGGCACATTGTGAAGTAGGTCATTGAAGAGATGGCATATTGTGAAATAGGTCATTGAAGAGGTGGCATATTGTGAAGTATGTCACTGAAGAGATGGCACATTGTGAAGTCACTGAAGAGATGGCACATTGTGAAGTAGGTCACTGAAGAGATGGCATATTGTGAAGTAGGGTCATTGATTGAAGAGGTGGTGGCACATTGTGAAGTAGGTCATTGAAGAGGTGGCACACTGTGAAGTAGGTCATTGAAGAGGTGGCACATTGTGAAGTAGGTCACTGAAGAGATGGCACATTGTGAAGTAGGTCACTGAAGAGATGGCATATTGTGAAGTAGGTCATTGAAGAGGTGGCACATTGTGAAGTAGGTCACTGAAGAGATGGCACATTGTGAAGTAGGTCACTGAAGAGATGGCATATTGTGAAGTAGGTCATTGAAGAGGTGGCACATTGTGAAGTAGGTCATTGAAGTGGTGGCACATTGTGAAGTAGGTGACTGAAGAGATGGCACATTGTGAAGTGGGTGACTGAAGAGATGGCACATTGTGAAGTACCATATATGACTGCAGATGAAGACCAAAAAAGCTTATCTGTAGGTCACACTTTCATCAAACCTTTCTCCGTTGTTTAAAAACGACATCATATCATTTGTGCGAAATTGACTTTGTCAGTGAAGATGTCAAATTTGCAATTAAACATCACTTGACAATATGATTTACCCTTACAGTTTGTTTTTACGTGTTTCCCCTAGCTACTGGTGATTTAGTTAAAACATATCCCAAAATTTAGCAGAAATGAATTTTTATGCAGTAATAAAGAAAGTGATATCTGAATTTTTTATTTTTCCAAAAGAAATGTATTCTAGCATTGTGTTTTTTTAAGTGCAGGTTTTGCTCCTTAAATGTAAAATAATGATAATCATAACTAAGGTTATGCGGCAGCAATTTTGTGTATTGTTGGATGCTTTTCAGCTTCAACAAATGTGGCTTATAATGAAGCAAATAATATATATGTATCCATTTCCTGTCTACATTTCGTTTTCAAGGCATGAGTGGAGGCAATAGTATTCTGTTGCTGTGAACAAGGTAAACAACAGAAGTTTTTAGTTTTTGAGGAATGCACAGTTTCTCAACAATTAATATTAACATTAATGACATTTTGAGTAAAGTTAATAAACTAGATTATCACCTTTAGACCAGATATGCAAAGATGTTATATTACGATAGAGTGTAACCACAGGATAACTTGTGCAATTCAATATGGATCGATGATACACTTTCTGATGACTGATTCCGATGAGAAGATGTATGAAGGTGATCCAGATTTTGTACCGGACATACCATGTTTATTATGATTTTCAGGCTCAAGTTAGCACCTTGGCTTATCTATGAGCTTATCTACGCTCATATACAGTAGGTGCATTGTGAAGAAAGTGTATTCTGAAGTAGATTCCATGTGGAGAAGGTGTATTACGATGTAGATGCATTGTTAAGGAAGTTACTGTATTTCCTCTATTAGGCACCGGGTCTCAATTAAGCGCCGGGCCTCTAATAACCGCCGGGGATAAAGCAGTGCTTTAAGAAATAAGCACCGGGCCTCCAATAAGCACTGGGTCTCTAATAAGCTCCGGGTATAGACCTTTGCATTTCTTCGCAAATGTATTCTCCCTTGGTCTAAAAATAAATATATTAAGGAATGGTCCCTTAAATCATAACTTCATGTACTACAGGGTATTTTAATAAGCGCCAGGCCTCTAATAAGCGCCGGGTCTGGGGGTCCGTTGAAAAAGGGTGCTTATTAGAGGAAATATGGTAATTTAGAAGTTGGTACATTCAGCAGAATGTGTATCGTGAAGAAGGTTCATCAATGAACTGGGTGGTCAGTCTTTCCTACAAGAAACTGGTCCTCCAAATTACTAGTGATTCCTTACTTTTTCATTCTGTGTATAATTATGGCAAAAAAGTGGAAATCTGATGATGAAATAAGTTGATGAACCA